AGGTCCTTCTTCCTAGCCCTATACTCTTCCATTAACCTCCTCACGAGGTGAATGGCCTCTGTAGTCGATCTACCAGGCATGAAACCAAACTGGTTCTCAGAGATGCATACCCCTTTCCGCACCCTATACTCAATGACTCGCTCCCAAACCTTCATGGTGTGGCTAAGTAGTTTGATGCCTCTGTAATTCTCGCAGCTCTGGATGTCACCTTTACCTTTAAACAAGGGGACCAAGAGACTCTCCCTCCACTCATCAGGCATCCTTGCTGTCCGAAAGATAACATTGAAGAGTTTGGTTAACCAAACCCACGCACCACGGCCCGCATGCTTCCAAAACTCCACCGGAATCTCATCTGGTCCCAAAGCTCTCCCACTACGCATCCCTCGGAGAGCCCGAACCACCTCTCCCAGGCAAATGCGCCGACAATACACACAAGACGCCCCGGACTGCCCCAGCTCATCAAAAACTAGCCTCTGGTCTCCTCCCGCATTTAAGAGATCACAAAAGTACTCCACCCAGCGCTTAGCCACTTTGGCAGTCTCAACTAACACTCTACCATCGCTCCCCTTCACGCATCTGACGTGGTCCAGATCTCGGGCCTTCCTCTCACGCACCTTAGCAAGGCGGAACAGTGTATTAACACCGCCTTTCTCCTCAATATCCTTGTAGAGGCGTTCAAACGCGGCATTCTTTGCTCTCGTAACCTCTAACTTGGCTTCTGTACGTGCCTTCTTGTACTCCACTCGTAACGCCGTTCTTTCTTCCTCAACATTGCAGCCCATGTACCTCAAATATGTCACCTTCTTAGCTTCCACCTTAATACGGACTGAATCGCTCCACCACCAATCACCCTGATGCCTACTCCCAGAGCCAGAGCTCACACCTAACACTTCCCTGGCTGTTTCCCTGATGCAGTTAGCAGTCTGCTTCCACATATCTGTAGCCTCTCCGGCCGATTCCCACGCACCTTTCTCCTGCACTCGCCTGATCAACTCAGAGATATTCTCCCCACTTAGTCTCCTCCACCGGATTTGTGTGTTGCCACTCGAAGCTCTCCTATGTTTCACCCATTTGATCATGACATCCATCACGAGAAGCTTGTGTTGGGTTGTGATGTTTTCACTCGGAACTACTTTAGCATCCTTGCAGAGCACTCGATCACACCTGCGCAGGAGAAAATAGTCGATCTGTGTCGTCCCCACTCCACTAACAAATGTAGCCAAATGAACGCCTCGTTTTGGGAAACAAGAGTTAGCAACCACCATATCACTC